ATTACAGTAAGATATAAGAGCTTTTTTCCTCATGCTATGTAGGATTTTGTCCTAACAGGTTTTTTTTTTTAAAGCTATCCTGCTGTTAAAATAATTTAACTGCAGTGTTTGAGTATAATTTGTCCTATATTTCTTTTGCTTTCTCTGAGGAGTTACATAACTTTTTCATTTCTAATGAGGTTTCCTAAATATAAATTGTGATGTTATATTATGCACCTCCTTTGGCTGCAAACCAATTAATTTGAAGTGGTTCAAGGCCAAAGAGAAGTTTAGGATCACATTCTAGCATTCCTGGTGAAAGGTTTGTTTATGGACCTTTTTTTTTTAAAAAAATAAATGGTTTAGTGGTTAAGTCCTGCTTCTGTTGGAATTGATCTTATCCTTTAAATTCATGTAATACTCTAAATTAATAGAGGATTGTTTTGAACTACATGACCTTGTGTTACTTAGATGCTGTTTGAAATCCATTTGTATAATAGCCAAAACATTCTTTTGCCTCTCTAAATCAGGTAACTTTAGCCATTTAAATGACTGTTTAAATCATCAGCAGGATTAACCTGGGAAGAGATCAGTAAAAGATCAACCTGACTTTACCCCTAAAGCTGTGCTTCCTTGTGTTGAAGTATATCCCATCACTGCTGTCTCCCCAGATCCCTGTGCCAGACAGAGCTTTGCCTCCTCATCACAGGACTGTCACTTCTGTGCCCCAGCTTGGCCAGGTGGTGGGGCTGATATTTGGGAATATCAGGAGGCCTGGAGAACAAAGCATCTCCCTGTGCTGATTCTCCCCTCCCTTCCTCCCCAGACCCAGAGCTGTCATCCCCCTGCAGCATTTTGGCACTTCTCCTCACCAGGAGATGAACCTGCAGGCCTGCAGATGGTGTGAGGAGGCACAGGACATAATCTGCCTTGCAGCACAATTTATCCCTTCTGCTGCACCTGCAAGCTCAGGGCTCTGATTCCCAGAGCAATCCTTCTGCCTTTTACTGCCCTGTATTTTATGTGGGTGTATCCCTGATGGTTTTTTCACCATTTGAGAAATACTGCTCTTGAGAATCTGAGTGCTTAGAACTTGTTTTGTCTCAGTATTATTCCAATGTGTGGACTACACTCTTTCTGAAAAATCTTATTTAGATAAGTGTGTATGAATTTAGTATGATTAACCTAGGGATGCTAGACTTGGAAAATGGTTCCGTGTTTTAAAGAATTTCACAGCTTTCGAGTGACCATTTCTCAGTTTTCCCCAAAGAAGAATTCAAACCCATCCTTTTCAGTAATTTTGGAAATAATAGACATGCCTACTTTCATTTTCATCTGACAGTTCTACAAATCTGACAGTAAGTGAAAACCACTATTTTTCATACTGCTATTTTCTGTCACAAAGGTATAATTTCTGTTCATGCACAGGTTCACTATTCATTTATCCATTACCCATTTCAGTGTGAATGCCACAATTCTAGAGCTGTTCACACATAAGCCTCTCACATATAGAAATCCAAGAATAAAATCCTAAAGAAAAAGTTAAGTTTTAGGTTCCCTGCTCTCCCAGTGCAGATTTGCTGGGCAGAGGGAGGGACTACAGGGGCTGTATAACCTGAGCCCTGCCTGCTGAGGTGAACTCCTGGCTGCATCATGTGCTGGCAGCCATGCAGGTGCCTCTACCTGGCTGCATTTCCTGCACCTCCTTTGGTACATCACTTCATCCAAGTTTCCCTATCACTGCCCAAGAGTTCAATATAATTTCTGAAGTTTATTAGCTTCCTAAAATGGATAGGTGGGAATGCTCTTCTTCTTTGGTATCTGTAAGTAGCTCAGATACCAAAGGGGCTGGATGCTTTAGGGGGAAAAAAGCTGCTGGGGCACCCGACAAACAGCAATAGGTATTGCTGCTCTCCTTCAGCAGAGTTTGTTCCCTTTCATGAATGCTTATGTTGCACAAGCAATTGCAGCATTTCACTGCATCAGCACTGTTCCTAATCCTGATTTGGAAACATCAACTGTTAGCTTGACAAAGCGTGACACATGGCACGTTGAAGTGTTTTCAGCTGCACTCACACAACAAATTGTGATGGCTCCAGAACAGCCATTTCAATTGATTGTGTCAGTAAACTACAACCCACAAAGAAAAAGTCATGTGGCCAACCCGAATAAAGCATCATCAAATCACAAATAATAGATTAATTGTCACAATTTTGGCCTCATTTTTAGAAAAACCATTCTGCAGGGAAAAAATCCTGTAATTTCTAGATGCTTTGCCCATGATGAATCAGAAGTCCAGCCCTCTGGAACGTAGCAGTTTACAACGTTTCCTTGATTTCCATATGTGGAGACTGTGTGACTTTGTTCTTCATGTTTGTGCTTCAAAATGAGGGCTTGGTAAGTGGTGAAAATGTAGGCTGTCCCTGCAATTGTGCTTTCTCCAGCTTTTGTGAGACATGGGCCTATTCTTATTTGAAAAAAGACTTCTATATCCTTTCCTAGACCAAGTGCCAGCAAACACAAGCTCCACACTACTTCCTTTTTTCTATTTCCTCTGGTAGTTACTTCATTGGGAAGTGCTACACCTGCTTGATGGCAAAGTGCAAATTTTCAGCTTTCATAGTCAGGCTGACGGCACAAGGGGGAATTCTAACCTCACTGAGACCATTAAGGTTTCAGAGTAAGTAAATCAGGGTACAATCTGACTTAATAAGAGTAGCTCCCAGGTCATCAATTCTGTGAGTGGGCTGCTTTTCCTGTTGCCCACATACTCACAAGGAGTTGCAATGTTTCCTCAGAGGTAACTAACACGAGATAAGGATTGCTGGCCATGACACTTCAGTGGCTGAGCAAGGATGTGGGCAATTTGTTAAGCACCTGGAACCTGAGTTACTTTGTAGAAGATAGAGGACAGTTTCTTCCCCAAATTTAAAACCCCCTGAATAACCACAGCAAAATGACCTACAGCAGGAGCTCTGGAGAAAAGAAGTATGCTAGTTTTGACAAATCAATTTATTTTTAAATAATGTCTATGCTAATATACACCTTTTTGCCTTGTTAAGGCAGCAACTTCTGACTAGGAAGCTTTTATAACTAAGTTACTTCATTTTTTCTTCTAAAACCATCAGTAGCAAGCTAGAGGTGACAATTTGATATCAGAAATTAAAGCCTTTTAACAGCTCATTTTACACAGCTGGCAAATAAAGACACATTAGTCACAGGTATCTGTATGTGCATGTACCTGCATACAAAAACACAGAGCTTTTCTTTTTTAATGTCACAGTACATGGGGTGACATGCAATTAAAATGAAAATGATGTAAGCCACTGAATGTAAGTACTGAGTGACAAGTGTTGTGTTCAGCTGCTTAACAAAAAGATTTTTTTCTGAAAGACTAGAAAACCAGGTAAGACCAAAAGCAGATACCATTAAAGAAATGCACAGTGGCAAAGAGAATAACTCACTCTCTAAACAGGCTATCCAAATTTCTCCTTTTCTCTACAACAGACATTAAAACATATTAAAACATAATAACCTGTGCACATGCTCACATAATGAAAAGAAAAAAAAAAACCTCACCAGCAACTGGGGAATTTAAATCCATTCATCTTAATCCAATACTGATACTTCCTCAGGCACACACTTAATACACAATTGCCCTAAGCTTTTGACAATCTTCACCCAATAGGGCTCAAATATAAAATCACAAAAGCTAGAGATGAAAGAACCTAGTCAGTCAATTTGTTAAACCATTTGCTGTGTTATTTGGGCTCCCTGTAGTATACTGTCAAATACACTTCTGATCATCACTTGGACTTTTGATGTGATTTGGGTTCTGAATGACTTTGCTTCACATACAAATGAATGGATTACACTCATCCTTCTGTGGGTTATTAATCTGTTCTGTTCAAGAACACTTGTAAGACAAGGGCTTTGACCAAATTAAATAAAATTCAAGTGGTTCTTGTTTTCTGAGAAACCTCTTCATTTCCACTCACAGGTGCAATTTTCTATATAAAATGAAACCCCTCTTCTTCTACTTAACACACGCAAGCATGATTTATGAAACGTTGCTCAGGTAAGACAAGCTTATTTTACACTTTATTTAGTCAGGACAGAACACTGATGGGAGAAATAAATGAGATAGACAAGATGATCCATAGCTGGAGACACGACTTGCTTTGTGCCACAGCCAGAAAGGGCCTTTAGCATTACAGACCATTGATCTCGGGAAAACGGGATGCGTGTTGCATTGAGCGACTGGAACAAACCACGCAGAGAGGCTGCTCATGCTGGCATCTGCGAGAAGAGGTTGGCTGGTTTTGAAGCACGAAACTGGCTCTAGGCTGAGCACCTGTCTGCCTCTTTCTCCGAGCTGCCTACCATCCCAGGCACTTGTTGCATCGCCCACAGCGCTTTCCCTGCGCCGGCTGGGCAGCAATGCACCGGCAAGATGGCAAGAGGAGCATGCTGGCTGCCTCGGGTTACAAGAGACAGCGCAGTGAATACGAATCACTGGGTTTTTTTCCGCCCGAAGCCTGTAAGATGTCCTCTGTCTCCCGGCTGCCAGGCTCCGCAGCGCCTTTGCCCGGGAGTGACGCGAGCGCCGGTCCCAGGGCTGGCATGGCCCGCCTGGCACAGCGGGCACGGCCGGGCTCCCCCGCACACCTTCCTGACCGCACCTGACCGCACACCTTTCCTTCCCTTTCCCTTCCCCTTCCCCTCAGGAACGGCCGGAGGGAGCGCAGCTCGCCCCCCTCAGCGGCCGGGGTCCCTCGCCGCCGCCTCATGTAGCGCAGCTTCCGCGCCCCAGCCACCGCCACTGCCCCGGCCGGGGCTTTCCGGGCCGGGCCCCAACAGCACCAAGCGGGGCAGGGCGGCGGCTCCCCGTTCCCAGCCCCGCTAGCGCAGGGCCCGGCGCGGCCCCGCCCGGGGAGGGGCGGCCGAGGGGGGCCGGGCGGGACGCACCGCCCCTTCCACCTGCTGCCGCTGCGCCATCGCCGGCTGGGGGAGCCGCCGCCCGCTCGTCCCCGCGGGGCCCTTTGTGCTGCCGCTGCTGCCGCTGCTGCTCCGGAGCTGCCTCAGCCAGGCGGCGGCTGCGTCACGGCCCCGGCGCTGCGGCCGCGCCTCGCCCCCCGCTCCGCCATCGCTGCGCCCCGAGCCAGGGCCGGCAGCCGGCGGTGAGTGCCGGGGATGGGGCGAGGGCAGCGCCGGGGATGGCGATGGGGATGCGGCTCCGAGCCCTCCGCGGGCTGCGGGCGGTGCCGCACCGGGCCGTGCCGGCGGCATCGCTCGCACCGCGCTGGCGCGTCGGGGGTTTGGGTGCTGCTTTGTGTGCGTGGTGCCGTGGGGTTTTGTTAATTTTCATAGTAGATGGTCTGGTCGTCGTTCGTACTTCCCAGAACGCCGGTGGCTAACCGAGTCATAGCGAGAAACGCGGATTTTTTTTATTTTAATTTTTTTTTCCAGAAGCTATTTCGGGTCCCCCGAGGGCTGGGAAAAGGTCTGGTTTCTGATATTTTGCATTTCTTTGCGTGTGTGCCTGTGTGTGCCAGCAGAAAAATCCCTCTATCCTGGAAGAATGGTGAAACTGGGGAATAATTTCAGCGAGAAGAGCACAAAGCAGCCCCTTTTGGAGGATGGATTTGACACCATCCCCCTGATCACACCCCTGGATGTCAATCAGCTCCAGTTCCCACCTCCTGATAAGGTACAGTAGGCTTTAGTTTCCACCCTGGAGAATCACACCCAAATCTCTGGCAAACAACAAAAGAATAGGTCATGGGTAGAGAGCAGCTTAGGAACGACAAGAAATAGGGGGTGTTTCAAGGCATGCTAGTTACCTCTAGGGAAAAACCCCAACAGCTAAGCTCATGAAAATCCACTAATGGTGATTTGCATTAAAAATCAGTGTGAAATGTTAGCAATGGGCATGTCGAGATTTTAGTTCTGCTATATGAAACATATACAATACAAATGCAAGCTTCTCTATACTGTATTGTCATAACCCTTCCTATTCTGTATTTTTCTCTCTTGCATCTGGAAGGTCTCCTGTGTGTTCTCTGTGGATAATACGGATTTTCTCTGTCTAGAAAATGCCTCCCTGATGGGGAATAGAGCCCTGCCTTATTTCTCTGTAAGATGGGCTTGGGCATACTAGCAACAGAGAGCACTTCCATTTTCCTTCTGTGCTTCAGTGGGAAACTAATGCTAACCCCAGACAAGCTGAAATAATGAGATGAGAACAGGCCACTGAGTTTTCTCCTTGGCAATTTATTTTGTTCAAAAAATCCTCCAAATAGGTGATTCAGATATCCTCTGTAGCTGGAAGGGGGCAGTCCAGTGAGCTGCTTACATGCAAGAGAGGAAGTGTGCTTCCTGCATTGCTCATTAAATGTCTTGATTATTAGGGATTTAATTTTAAAGATTTAGAAAGGTGATAGCCTGTAAATATGTTTATTGTCCTCACAATAAAGAATTCAGTAAGTGCTGAGGCACAAAGGAGTAGGATTTTTTCAGGGTTTTCAGTATCCTGTTTTAATAAGATTCTTACTTGTAATTTCCCACATGCATCTGCTAATAAAAAGCTTTGTGGTCTTCATACAGTTTTTATTTTTTGCCTTATGTCTTCCACAAGCTTCATTCTACTTGTAGATAAACTGATAGCTATACATTCCTCAAACTTCAAAAAATATGCACATAATCTGAAGTTAGGGTAAAGAGTTTTCGCTTGTAAAATTTTCCTTGGTAGTGTGCTGCTTGTAGGCAATACAAATAAATGTGTGACCTCCATTTTAATTGCTATCAACAGCATTCTGTGTTGTGTGTGGTGACCAGTTGGCAGGCATAAGTGCAATAAGCCATAACAGCTGTTCAGGAGCCTGAGGGTCCATTTTATGCCCTCAGTTACATGGGTGTAAATCTTGTAACTGAGGACAAAATCACACCCTAAGGCTTTAGAACAAGCTAAGTCTTACCGTGTCTGATACATCTGCCAACTGGTGACTGGATAGAACCGATTACCAGGGACCAGTGACCAAAGGGATTTGTTCTGTTCCTGCACTGCTAAGCAGAATGAGGGATCTGCATGGTAATGGCTTTAACCTGAGCAGAGCCTCTGTTGTGAGCCCAGGGGCTCTGTGCCAGCCCGTTTGCTCCTACTAGAATGGGCAGAACTCCTCCCACCTGTTTGGCATTTGCCTTGAATGAAAGCAAATGTCCAGCTAAGCTAGAAACTTAAATAAAGAGATATTTGATTGGCTCTTCTACTTGCCACTGTCCAATTGTATATTAGTTTTCTTTTCCTTTGGCAAACATAGAGGGGGAAAATTAAATTTATTGGTCCTGCTGGTGTCCTTCTGTAACTGGTTAGTCATGTGAGTGTCTCTTTACTGGTTGTTAGAGACTCAAAGGCAGGAGCAGAGCAACTGACATGAAAAAAAGAAGCTGTATTAAGAAAAGATTGACACACAGATCAAATTCTGAAGTATGCAGACCCTCATGTATAATGAATAGAAGTACATTCTTCATATGTCTATGGTTATTATCCACTTGCAAGGCTCCAGCATGGCAGTGAAGCATAACTTCTTGAACAGTAGAGACTACAGTGCTCAGGATTTGATGATTTTGACAGTTTCTAAATTAAAGGGATGAAGTGATTTAAATTCATATTTAGATATGTTAAACAAAAGAAGACATTACATAACCAAGCAGTTAGAACTGTACATTCAGTGTCAGCTGAATGTGATTTGAGTTGCCTGACATTATGTAACATAAAGGGGGGAGGAAGGGAACTAAGATGTTAAAAAGCATTCCAGAAATCATCAGGTGGTTAACTTCCATGATCTGTGGGGCAGCTATAAAGTTAAATAGGTGATAACTACTATCTTACTAATTATAACTGAAAATAGGTAAGTTGGTTTTAAACTTATGTCCTGAACAAGTATGTGTAATACTGTGAAAGTTTCTAATAAACTTTTAGTATTGAGTCCAGGTACAGTTACACATTCCAGGTATCACTCAGGGCAGCGGGAAGAAGGGAGCCCAAGGTTTGTCATTTCAGTGTCTGACTACCTGAAGTGTCACCATCCTAATTTCAGAAGGATGGAGAGAGACTGTTTACAAGGGGCTGTAGTGACAGGACAAGGGGATGGCTTTAAACAGAGAGAAGGTTTAGTGTGAGAGTGCAGAGGCCCTGGCACAGGGCCCACAGAGGCTGGGAATGCCCCATCCCTGCAGGTGTTCAAGGCCAGGCTGGATGGAGCTCTGAGCAGCCTGGTCTAGTGGAAGAGGTCCCTACCTCGGGGCATGGAGTTGGAACAAGATAATCTTCAAGATCTCTTCCAAGCCAGGCCTTTCTGTGATTAATGTGTTTGCTATTAATACTGTGGGCTGTGCTAAAGATAGATTTTGATTTTCAAAAATCTAAAAGAGTAGATACTTATTCCTTGGAAAAACAGAGGAAATGGAGCAAATTGTAATAGCACCATCACTACAATAAACTGTACCCTAGTTTGAGAATAATACTTGGGAAAAGTTCCTGAAAAATGCAGAAGACAAAAATGAGGCAAATAGGTTAGGTATGTGAAAATTTTGTATGATTAGAATGCCTAGGAGAACACTAGAGATACAACTGACGTAGTGAGTATTTTGGGAATAGGGCTAAGGTGCTAAATTGTGTAGCTTGGGGCAGTAGTTCATAGCAAGGAATAAACTGAAGAGCCTTGGGTGTTTGAAGAAATCTCATTAACGAGGGTTCGTGTGCATCTTGCTGCTTGCAGCTGATAATTCAGAAATTAGATGTTAAAAATAAGAATGCCAAGGGCCATAGTCTATCACATGGTGAATGGCAACTAGACTACATGGGTTATTTCAGTTTTGTTTAACCTCAAAATCCTGCCATCAAAGAACATGGCGTTGTCATCTGTAAGATTTTTATGGGTAGTCTTCAATAATCTTCTGTTGGTGTCCAGTTTGAAATCCCATTAATGGAATTTCCTGAAGCAAATGAAGGTAGCTACTTCCAAACTATCCAAAGTGGGAAGGTCCATGATTTGGATTTGACCTATCCTTGCCTAGTATAAGAGCACAGTATCACCACAGATGAAAAAATGGAACCTTTGTGAAACTGTTGCATAACAAGTCTTGCTGTAGGTCCATCAAAACCACTTTGAGAGGTAAGTTAGTTGATGATTGATATACTGGAAAAAGGAATAAATAATTTTGCACTTTCAAAGAAGAATTACACAAAGTGGGGAGGGGAAAGATATGGTGCTAGATGTGCTTGTAGCAGATAAAAGAAGAGTTAAAGAATAATTAAGGTTTTTGTGGTCAGCTTTAGTTGACAGTTTTGTGATTGATTCTTTTTCTTAAAGGTTGTGGTCAAAACAAAAACAGAATATGAACCTGACCGCAAGAAGGGAAAGTTCCGTACTCCTAAAATAGCTGAATTCACAATCAGCATCACTGAAGGGGTTTCAGAAAGGTTTAAGGTAAGCAGTGCTATGTGAAGATGTTAATGTCTCAGTTGTGTTTGCAGAAGTGCTTAAAATCAATTGCTGGTTGTAGTCAGAACTGGCTATAACAGAGTGCCTGTTGTGGATATAGCTGGACATGAGAAAAATTAATTCAATGTTATAATAGTTCAAAATTGAACAATTAGAAACAAAATCAAATCCTGCAGCTTTATTGCTTGTAATCCCTCACTGGCAGATGAATTCCAAAGGCATTTCTGTCAGTGTGTGGGCTCCAGAATGTGCCTTGCCAGGGTGTGTGTGGGCTGCACAGGGGAGTGCTCATGGCATGGGTAAAGCTCCTGTTTGTGTTGAAGGACAAGAACCACCAGAACATTTCTTTTTTTTTTTTTTCGGCTTTTTATTTATCACTGTTGCCAAACCATTCTCTTAAAAGCACTGTCATAGTCCATTATGTATTTTTTATAGTTAAATATATGATTTGGCAACCCAGGGATATATATCAGAGCTCTTTCCTATCAGTTTTCTTGGTCCCATTTAATCTTATGGTTTGGTGATGCCTGTTACTGTCACATGGCAGTTCAGAAAGAATCTGACTCAGATTGTGTCCTCACCCTTACTACTCCCTTCATCAGTCCCATAGGGAACCTGAGGACTTATCTGATGCAAGGCTTGAATATCCTTTCTCCCTTCCCACTAGAGGATAGTTTTTCTTGTTCTGGGTAATTAAAGCAAAGCAGGAAAGTTGGCACTTCAGCTCGTGCTCCCCTGTCCTTTTAACAATAAGACTGCAGGTTTCCAGTGCTTCTAATTTGGCATCTTACCCAAGGATACAAAACATTTTTAAGCAGTAGGCATCCACACTCTGCAGTTCACAAGTGCAAATACCTTTGGAAAGCCTAATATTTAGTATGAGGGGAAAATACAGAGTTTCAGTAAAGGTGTGAATTCCCTTTCTACTGCACATTTCTAAACTCTGTCTGCATGACAGGACTTTTAGGGCACACGCAGAGATTTTGGTACTGTTGTGCCAGAGCTGTGCTCTAAAAGCTGCCCAGGCCCAAGCTGACCTTCAGAAGTGTATATGCAGCTCTCAGTGGAATCAGAGCATGCTAAACAAACAAAGTGAAGGCTCAAGGAGGGATTAGACTATATTTGGAAAGGAACTTTGCAGAGTGTTGCTGCGACAAATGTTTTAAGTGCCATTCACCTGGTGGTCTCCAGCCATGCAGTGAAGCTGTGTGGGGAACCCCACACACCCAAGAAGAGATGTGATGGGGTTTACCAAGGAGGTAAGAATCCTAGTTCCAGCTTTTCCTCTTCCTTGGTTTGGGGCAAGGACATGCCATTCCTCAGGGAAAATGCTACATTCTCTCTTTATCTTCCTGTCACCATGGTTCCAGTCCTTGAGAGCAATCCCCTTCCTCTCAGGTGAGGAGGGTAGGGTAAATGCAAATAGACAGCTCAGAACAAGGAGAGCTTATGTCAGGCTGTCTTTGTGTGTGTCCTGGTCACACTAAGGTGACTGGAAAATGCTTACTGTGTCTCGAAGAGAAAAGAGAAGCAGTTTTTAGTTTGAATGCCCTGATAGGACTTTGGTTCCAAGCAGCTGAGCAGAGCCTACACCTGAAGAACTTTGCACTTATGGTTTAGGAGTAGGCCCAAGGGATTTAATTGCTGGAACATTAAACGGTAGCTAAGGAAAGGTTTTGAATATCTTAGTCACATTTAAAAGGCTTGTGCATCCTTTTGTAAAGCTGGGGGGGTTCTCTGTCTTTGTTGGGAAAGCTGAGCAAATGAGACCTTGCTGAAAACAAATAAATAGCTTGTTGTGCTCTTGGGTAGTCTTTTCTAATTTGTGTAGCTGAACAGCTAAAAGCCTGAGGATTTTTGCATTGCATTTTTATATACCTTTGGATGGCATACTTCAATAAAATATCCTTTAGATGTTACTTTATGATGATCGCTCTGGGATTAATCTCATACTAGAGGGTTGCTAGGTTTTGCTGCTAGGTAACTGCTGCATCAGAGAGAGGTTTCTGTAGGATTTGCTGTCTCTTGGGAATTGCAGGGTGATTCACATTGTGGCTGTAAGTCTAGGTTTCCAGAGAAGAGTATGGGGATTGATCAGTTAGGAAAATTTTTGTTCAGTTAATTGAAAACCATGTTCATGCAGAACATTCAGGTCCTAAAAATGTCCCTTAATCTCTATATAACAATCTTAAAATGTAATTATGCTGCTTGCAACATTTTAAAGAAAACTGACTAGATCTTCAGCGGGGATGACTGTCATATTCACCACTCCCAGTAATAAATATTACATGAATAGTTGATAACATTCCATAAATATGTAGATGAAAAGTACTGATTGTGTGAGGTTTTCTCCTGGGTCCTTATTAATTGTGAACCATCATGTTAACTTCTGCTGTTGATTCTGAGAGAGCAAAAAGATATTTGTTTGAAAATTAAATATTTGTTGTAATTATGAAATGCATTATTTAACTGATGAGATATTGACTTTGGCTTGTGTTCATGAAAAAACTTTCAGATGCCATTTTAATGACTTCAGTATGGTACATCACCAATGCACAAGCTTGCCACAAGACACAGCCCAAGTGTTGTGCTAAAAATAAGCAAGTGAGTCAGTCATATTTACAAATAATTCACATGTGTATTCTAGGATGTACTCCTTAAATAATGACAAAGCAGATTGCATTTTTGGGATTCAGCAGTGCAGATCATCCAAAGCTGTTCTTCTTGAGAAGTTACACATTATAACAAATGAAGTCACTCCAGCATTGCATATGTCACGTAGATAATTTGGTGTTTTAGCACCTGGTGAATAATCAATTATAAAATGTATTTTTCTGCATTCAATTCACATTACCACAGTTATAACAGAGCTGAGGATGTTTTCAAAGAAAACTGCAAGTATAATTTTCCTCTATGAAGCCACATTCTGAATTCAGATCAGAATGTCTCAAAAGAATGTGAAGATTTCCCGATTCTGAGAACTCTGTTGTCTTAATTTACTTTTATGGCTCTAACCACACCAAGGAAGGTGTGATTTTTTCACTTAAGATTTTTTCCCATTGAGAAACAGATGTCTTGCTTTTGTTCTTTGAACAGTGTAGGCTGACGTAGGGAGTTGGTTTTGGAAAACATCTGGAAAGTGGCTTTGAACAAGGCAGATCTTTCTCTCTTGTAAATTGTCCACTCTACAGAGTAACACAGGATCCTTGTGAACCAGGACATAGGAGGATGTTAGGGCAGAAGAAAATTGATGGTCTGAGTTACCCAAGGCCAAACCTTTGCCTCCCCCATTGACAGAACAGTGTTTTTACAACCCCCATTTGGATTTTGTAGAGGGATGTCTGCTGTGGCACCCACTGATTGGGCTACAGCTGGCAGTTGTGTACAAACACAACAATTAAAAAAAATCTGTTGTAGCAAAGCACGACTTTTTTTTCTGTCTTTGAGAAAACATCATTAAAGAACATTTAGAGGTATTTTGAAAACAAACACTGATTTTTCATAATAAATTTCAAACCCTTAAATCAACCCAAGCTGTGATATGCCTTCAGCCTTTGGTTTCTGTTCAAAGGCAGTTCAGTTCTTGTGACTTTATCTTTGACATCTCTACATACATCTAACTGCAGAGCCAAAGCCTCAAGCTTATCTCTGTGCTAAGACCATGCAAACTGTGTACTATCAGGTAGCAGTCAGCTGATGAAATGTCTGCATGAAGTTATGGAAGAGGAATTGAAACTTCAAGATCAGTTCTTGCAGTTTTACCTGGTCACTTGAAGACTGCAAAAATGTAAGCACCATATCTCTAACTGTTCAGGGCTTTTTTTCTGTCTTAAAAGGGGCATTCTTCAAACATGTTTCTGCCTCAACAATTTTCTACCTCTTCTTAGTAATGCCAGTGATTATTGCTGCAAAAATAATCAGAAGCAAGGAAAACAGTTCTCTCTTTGCTGCTGTGTGATTACTTTGTGTGATGAGTAGCTCTTTGCTTCCACTTTAAAAGTCTTTTAAGAGCAGGAAATGTCAACTAATTCCTGTATAGGTATCACTTCCTTAAGTAGATTCTGTGTCTGTCACTTAGTGTTGGAAGAGTGACAGGTACTTAGTGTCATTAGTAGTTCTGTTTCTCCAGTGGAACTACTCACAGGATTAAAGTTACTCACAAGTATAAGTGTTTGGCAGGCTTTACATTTTTTCATTACTACTTCAAATAAGAAAAATAAAGGAGGTAGTTCTTTCAGTGTAACAATTATTTTAAAGTAATTGATGCAAGTAAAGGCACTGAATGGCAACTGTCACTTTTCCTTTTTTTAATGTTTGATATTCTTTGATATGACATTGACAATCCTCCTGCTAAATTTTTGGTTGAAAGGAATTTTGTAGTCAGAACTGGAAGATTTAAGTAGAGTGGATGCTTAACACAGCTCCCCTGCTATAAGTCAGGTGTCCTCTGCCACAGTCTCCATTAGAAACCCATTTACTGGAACAGAACCAGTCACACAGGTGACACAGATGATGCTTTGGATGTCTCCAGATGCATCACTTAAATAACCTTTCCTCTGCTGTAATAACATTATGCAGCTTTTTTCCTGGCTTGCAGTAGTATCTTCTGGGTTTGTATGAGAAGGTAGTAAGATTCTTATCTTGGTGCTACAGGGTTTCTTGAACTGCTTCCTCAGATCCCTGTTAAGAAATATATGGTGCTGTGTGACAGAAGGTGACAGGAACATTGCCATGAACAGCTGAGTTAAGCTGCAGCTCTAGGATCTCAAGGCCAGTGCCTTGTTAACCTGTTTTTGTGTAACAGTGTGTCCCTCAGGTTTCATTAATCAATTCCCTTGCAGACTGCTCCTGTTGTCTGGCACTGTCGCTGTTAGTAAGCTCTGGTTCTGTAGCTTCTTTTCTCTTCCTGTCCTCATCAATCTGTCTGCCTTTTTTGCATTTTTTGCTGCTACTCCCAGCAATCTCCAGGTAAGCATCCAAGACAG